TCTTCGGTGAATGGACGCTAATGTGGGCTGCAAATCCATCCACTATTGACAGAGTTATATGTGGTCAAATCTGACCATTTTTCGTGATGCGACCGATGTTGGTTTTTTTTTAAATTGCACCCTCAATATGTTGCCGAAAGACGTAATCCTACGCAAAATCTCACAGAAGACACAAATCCTCTAAAACTAGCACTCGGACTTTTGTCTTACTAAATTTCCATCTTGAACTTCAGTAAGAGTATACGAGATACCAGAGTAGAGTATTTTCAGGACCACCCTAAATTGCTCCAAAATGAGAACCGTAAGAGATTAAAAAATGTTTATTTTTAGCAAAGCTGCTTGAAATCATCTTAGCTACAGCTTTCGTGAAAAATGTGCGTTTTTATTTTTATAATTTAAAAAGTCAGTTTTTCTATAACAAGACCATTTTAATTGTAAAAACGGCCAAAATAATGAGCTTTTTAAGTTGAAAAAGTTCTCAGCAGACACTACACCTCTAAATCTTGAGATAGGATTTTTGCCTTGTTAAATTCTCATCCTGGACCACTATGGATTGGCGAAGAAATACTATGCATGGTGAAAACTGAATAAATCAAAGCGGTTCAAGTAAGGCAAGTTTGATACCGTATGGTTTTGAAAGATTCTCCATACAATTTAAATCAAAAATGGTTTCTTCTTCTTCCTCTTTGCATTTCAAGCTTATTGCATATCGCATATTAGCTTATTGCGTGCTCTCAACTTAGTGTTCTAGATGCACTTCCACAGTTATTAATTTAGAGCTTTCGATGCCTGTACCATTTTTGCATTAGTATAACTTTGTGGCAAGTACAATCATCTATGCCCAGGGAAGTCGAGAAATTTTCCAATCCGAAAAATTTCTAGACCGGACCGGGAATCGAACCCAGACACCTCCAGCATGGTCTTGCTTTGTAGCTGCACCTTTACCGACTGAGCTAAGGGAGGCCCCAAAAATGGCTTACAACATTTTATGATCCTCGGTCAGAAAATTTTGACAGATTACAACTCATGATGTTATGTTTCATTCTGAATTGTAATATATTAATTTAAGTAGATTAAAGGTACTTTGACTATATGTTTTAGTATTACTTCTGCGTGATGTCAACGATTTACATAGTTGAAGATGCTAATTTCAAATAACAGACTGTAGTGGTAATTTTTATACGATAGATGGAGTAGATGAAAGCATAGAGTTGATAGTTCCGTTAGAGTTCGGCAGTGTGAATATTGCATATAGATATTAGAATAGCGAGCTAGGACAACTTTTAAGGAAGGTACAAATCGGTTTTTTCATCTCTCTTTACCAAACTCCCCTTTTGGAGAGGGAGTTGACTTCACGCAGGAGTAATACTAAAACATATAGTCAAAATATATTAGGATTTCAGGCTTGGGAGCATTCCATAAATTTAAAACTGATCAAGGTTTCCAAATCCCTGGCCTAGAAAGTATTTTTGATTTCAGAACCAATTTTAAATATTTTCAGTTTAGTCCTGCTGATTTGGTTATCATAATCGCCCAACAAATGGAAGGTTTTAGTTAATATGTGAATCCCCACTTCTATGGACTTTCAATTCCGAGATCAAATTTTGTTTTTCTTTTTGTTCTTGAAAAAAAAAATGAAGACGCGATAGATAAGCAGTTTGTTGAGTCCCAATATTTTCATTAATTTTTATAATAGAAAGATTTGGAAACGTTTTCAAAGATCCAACAATCTTAAAAATGAAATATTTGATACACCAAAATGAAGAAGTGCATCCACATGACACAACCCCATTTGATTTGACCTTCCCATTGAATTCTTCAGATATCTTCAAAATATTTTGATAAATCCTTTCAACATCTGTCACCAATCGGTTCGGCACAAGTTTCGAAAAAACCACCACACATTGGAAGCCTTCAAAAACAAGCATCCCAACAATGCAATGCCATTTCTGCTGAGCCGAATCGATTCATCAAAGCCAACAATAAAGACGCCCCCAGCAGCGGTTGCCCGGCCGGCCGATTGTCATCGGCTTTGTAATCGGTTGACCCACCAAAAGTGTGCGTTGACGATATCAAATCGATCACTCGATTTGCCGTGTTGTTTTTATCCTCCCAAAAACTGGGCAACGCTTTTTTTTTTCCTTCATTTGGTCGTTGAGTGCGCGGTCAAAATAAATTGCCTCCCATTGGGGGTTCATTAACATGATCATGACAATGTTTCTGACCGGCAACGATCCGGGCCAGACATTGGACCCAACCAACCGTACCCATTGACATTCCTCAGGGCGGCCGGCGCTGCTGCTACACAGAATCTCCTTGTTTTTTGTCTTTATTCGAATCCCAAACCCGTGTGATGGGCATTATGTAATTCGTCGATTTTTGCCATTATTTAAAGGTACACGGGAAAAAAAGAGTTCCCATATTCGTGAACCACAGCCGTGAACCATAGTTCACGGTGTATATTTGAGAAAATTTTGTTCTGGATAGCTGGCCGTGATTTTTAGTTCACGGTCCGTTCCCGTTTTCGGGAACGGATTTTTTTCCGAGTATAAGAGGTGCACTGCTGCTGACAAGTGACCAACTGGGTTCGGAATCGGTCCAAAAAATATTAGATGCTAATATTTCAAATCAACGTTCTGCTTGAGGTTACCTTTTGTGGCTTTGGGATGAGATAACGAGTGTGAATTTTCAAGGGACCGTGATGGCCCCTTCGTCGTTGCATGGTTTCAGTTATTTAACTGATCATTATTAAGTGCCAGTCGTTTTTATCGTTGGGGATTAGAGAAATAGTTCAATTTTTCAGACTTCTGGCTGTAAAAAGTTTTCAGATTCAGACTGCGTTACGTAATGCAATGATAGAGTTGACGATCTGTGAGGTCCTAGCTCAAAGCCCGAGGCGGACTATAATTGATTATACCGCAGTTTAAAAGATAGGTTTTCAGTTTTTATGTGTCTCATTTTTCCGGCTCCAAACGGGTAATTTTCAGTGAACCGTTTAATCTTTCATCTAAATGGCCCAGAAAGGAATCATTTCGCAACCAAATTTCGTGAAATTTGAGCTCCATTATGTTACCGATTACCATAATTATAAACGGCTGCATAAAGGTGCTCCAAAACGCATGCAGGAAACGAGAATGAGCTACTATATCTCACGTATGATTGCGTCACACGTTTCCTCTCGAATGCTGTCTTGATCTATGGGCTCGATTATGTTTCTCATCGGTGGACACAAAAGCCCCTGATGATACTCAGCTCGTGACGCGATCACAACCCAACCGCCGTTTGGCTCTCCTGGGGCCATCTCCGGTTGACCCTGAACTTCACACCGTAAGCTGTATCTCGCTCGAGAGGCGGTGCATTCGTGTGTTTGTTTTGTTTGAGCCGGGCAGAGAGGAGGACGCCGCAGGAAACGTGTTTGGTTCCTCGTAAATTTGTATATCTTTAACCGGTCAGCGTGTCATCGGTCGGCGGATGGACGCACTTTTTTGTTTTTACTAGCAGAGGCCTACATCAATTTCATTGCCAGCCACCTCCCGAAAGTGGCGGCAGTAGGTTGTTAGCAGTAGCACACACGCTATTTGTTTGGAGACCCCTCGAGATAGAGAGCGATAGATAGAGAGGATGTAAATGGTGGTCAAATGCTTAGAGGAAAAAGCAGTAGCGTGCGGAGCAAGGCCACCGGGACATGCTTGACGAATGCTGAACGAATGTACCGACTGCTGTTGAAAGATACAGGCGAGAGACTGAAAGAATGTGAAAAAACGTTCTCTGCCGAGTGTGTGATTTTTTTTTTATCATTCTTCTCCGATTTGTATGAAGCTTTGCGTAATTGTTTATTATGGGAAATGATCCATATTTCTGTTAAAATTTTCTTATTTTGGCTCTTGTCAAATTTTCAAAATGGTGTGCACGATTTTTTTTCCCATTCGCTTTTCTCTACAACTTTTTCTCAGGCATCATTTTGATCAAAAGTTTTGTTTCCGCGCTACAATTTGTTTTAAATTTAAGAGACACCATTTCAAAAACTTGATATGATCTGGCATGACTGAATTTTAGCAAAAATGTGAATCATTACCCAAAACAAAAAATTATTCATAGTTTCATGCAAATCAGAGATGGTCGACTTTGGCGTCATATAGCGTGGAACTACTTTATTAAAGTTTTAGTTCAGAGCTTCCTAAGCGTACTGAAATTGATTTTGTTTATACATTGTACATCGTTTAAAAATCAAAAAAAAATTTCGTTCCGTTAGCTCTGAACACGCTTATGACAAAAGCAGATTCGGCTGTCTTAAAACTCGGCCCGAAAACCATGATGCGCTTATTTTACGACACCGCTCTAAACAATTCGTTACAGCTAGTGTACCGGTTCGGCGGGGGACTGTCCTAGACGTGGCCTTGCGGAAGGGTTCACGTGAGTTATTTGTTTCTATTAGAGGGTGTCCGGCAACATTCCATCGAACGATTATGAGATTCATTTTGTTCTGTCTTAATTAGACCTTGGAATGGCGTCTGGAGGTTTCACGCTAATTTTAATCCAGATTTATTTGTGAACCCATATCGAATGGAGACAAATCACCTGATGAATATCCTCGTGATTAGATTGATCTTTTCTTACTATGACATTGATATTAATCCATCCCACACGAAGTGGACTGCGTTTAAGATTATGCTGCTGCTGTAGCACATCAAAAATCGCCATGGCAGTTTCGCACGATAAATCATCATCACACATGAGCATGTTCGCTTGCACTCGCGAAGGTCGGTCGGCATGAAGAATTGGATCCGCGGTGGGAAAAACTGCGCAAAGCCCATTATCTACGCGTTGAATGAATTTCTTGCACTTGATGGCTCTCCCATCTAAGCGACTAATTGTGTGCAAGAGAACGCAACAAGAAGCACTCAAGAATTTACGTTATCTTTCGGATATGATGTTTAGCTGAAGTTGTGTACTTGAAAATATATACTAACGACCTATTTGTTTTTGTTGTTTTTCCACAGATGAACCTCCGAACGAGGGCCTTTGTAGGCCTGCTGTGTATAGGGCTCGCGTCGGCCCAGCTTAACTACCAACCGGAGGTCCTCTCGGTTGGTCAGGGTTTCCGCGCTGCTTCGCAGTACCGAAGTAAATCAATTTCCAAGCGACAAGCTCAGGGTGGTGATGGTACTGATATTATACCGCATGATCAAAAGAAACAAACTACTTTCTGGTGGGTTGCGCCGGACTCTCCTTTCAAGGCTACTAAAATTGGTGGTGGCGTTCAGACTCCTCCGGCTGCAGCTGGCAACGGAGAGGATGGCGCTGCTGGGGCAGCTGGGATTGCCGGGGCAACCGGAGCTGCGGGAGGAGCAGTAGGACAGGCAGGGCAAGCTGGAGGAGCAGCCGGACAGGCTGGAGGGGCAGTCGGACAGGCTGGAGGGGCAGCCGGACAGCCTGGTGGAGCAGTCGGACAGGCTGGAGGAGCAGCCGGGCAGGCTGGTGGAACATTTGGAGCAACGCGAACTTCTCAGTCCAGTTTTCAGGCTTCTGCATCCAGAAGTTTTAGTGGAAGTTCAGGGCAAACTACGAGACAGGCTGTTGGACAAACTGGTCAGTTTGGTGCTGGTGGTACTGCAACTTCGGTTCAGGCTACCGCATCTAGAACAGTTGGTACCCAAACTGGAGTTGTAGGTCAAGGCGTTGCAGGACAAGGTGTTGGCGGTCAGGGCGTTGTCGGTCAAGGCGTTGCAGGACAAGGCGTTGCCGGTCAGGGCGTTGTCGGTCAAGGCGTTGCCGGTCAAGGCGTTGCCGGTCAGGGCGTTGCAAGACCAGGCACTGCAGGCGTTGGAGGCATCAGCGGTTTTGGAACAACCATCTCCAGAACTTCGACGGCCACTACCAGAACTTCCGGAGTTCAAGGGCAAGCAAATCAATTCGGTCAAAATACGAATACGCAAACCGCAGGTACGAACGTAGTTGCCGGTGCTGCAAGGACCAACACGGTGACGGCCACCAATCAGGTCACCTCCCAGGGAGGTCCTCCACCGGGACAACCAGGTATTTCCGGTGGTGTAACAACGACCAGCTCATTCCGGAAAACCACCGCGACATCCACGACCGGCGTAGCTCCAGTGCCCGTTCCAGCTCCGCCACCACCAGTTTATACTAATACTAATACAGCTACTACTATCTCTAGAAATACTAATACGGCTACCAGCATAACCAATACGCAGCAGCAGCAGCCGCCGCCGCCGCCTCCTCCTAGAACTTTCCAAGCTAATACTAACACCGCTACAACTTCTACCTTCGGGACTACCAGAACCGATGTAACCGGTACAAGAACCGACCAAGGGCAGCCTCCTATCTCGCCAAGTAATTCAAGCTTTCCACTAAAAGCTTTGCTTTCGTTACTACCTTTCCACTTGCATAACGTTTAAAAACTTCTAATCCCATAATTTCCGCACATTTAGCATCAGGAATCGGAGGTTCCACTATCACACGCCACCAGGAGAACTCTGGCGCGGGAATCAGCACACACACCATCACCAGCGGTGTCAACGTGCAGCCGTTCTTCAAGAAGACCACCGTCACTTCGCATGGCTACGACTATCCCGTTCCGCAGACGGTCCCATGCTACGAACCGAACAAGGTTTGCACACCGAACGAGTACTGCTCCAACGGACTGGTACAAGAAAGCCAACTGAATCTATTCAACACCAACAACCAGGTAAAGTTTCCTGATTAACCGGACGACCATGTGACGAGCGAGATTGGGCCTCTTTGGGATCGACGACGATGACTTTTATTGTCGATTGTCGTAGCGTAGGAAAATTGATTAATGCGAGCGGATTATATCGACTAGGTTGACATTCTGCATGAAGTGATGAATGGAAGGCATCCCAACAGTAAAGGTCGTTTCGACCCTGTTGGAATGTGTAAGAAAAGCCATTTGCTTATACATTACACTTTTCGACTGTGCAATATAACGTTCGATGACGACACTTCAAAACTAATAAAATTCAAGTCGGCAGAGCAGAGCTGTTCGATTGCACCGCGCTCGAGTTGTGCGACCTCAGACGACTTGTGACGGGGCGGGCGGTGGCAACTTTTTGCACATGTTTATTGCCGTGAAACCGCGTCTGGCTGCACGTATGCCCCCGGGGAAGGATATCACCGACACCTATCCCCACATTCCGCACAGATAGATGACCATTTTCGGATCGGTTTAACCTGTTCACTTGAGTTAGGCGGCTATGGCAGACGGTGGCCGGCGGCGGAGATGATGTTTGGATGCCTCCGGGGCAAATGGCTTAAGAATGACAAGTGCTCCGAGAGGGTGAGGTCACCGGGCCATGGTGAGGCACTGCATGATGTTGACAATTTATGTGAAACACTTGTTGCGCTTTATCGACATGGGTGGAGGACGTGGGGTTTGGAATTGGTGTGATTGGCTCTGGACGGGAGTACCTAGTAGTTCAAAAGTAGTTAATCGTGGTTAATTTTTGGGGCGATTCAAAATTAAATTCAAATTTAATTCAAGTTCAATTCAAATTCAGTTCAACTTCAATTCAAAATTCAATTCAAATTCAATTCAAATTCAATTCAAATTCAATTCAAATTCAATTAAAATTCAATTAAAATTCAATTCAAATTCAATTCAAATTCAATTCAAATTCAATTCAAATTCAATTCAAATTCAATTCAAATTCAATTCAAATTCAATTCAAATTCAATTCAAATTCAATTCAAATTCGATTCAAAATTCAATTCAAATTTAATTCAAATGCAATTCAAATTCATTTCAAATTCAATTCAAAATTCAATTCAAATTCAATTCAAATTCAATTCAAATTCAATTCAAATTCAATTCAAATTCAATTCAAATTCAATTCAAATTCAATTCAAATTCAATTCAAATTCAATTCAAATTCAATTCAAATTCAATTCAAGTTCAATTCAAATTGAATAAAAATTCATTTCCAATTTAATTCAAATTTCTTTCAAATTCAATTCAAATTCAATTCAAATTCAATTCAAATTCAATTCAAATTCAATTCAAATTCAATTCAAATTCAATTCAAATTCAATTCAAATTCAATTCAAATTCAATTCAAATTCAATTTAATTCAAATTCAATTCAAATTCAATTCAAATTAAATTTTAATTCAATTTCATTACAATTCAATTTAAATACAAATGGCTCATCTAATCGACATGACATCTTAGACAAAGTTGTAGGAAACTGGATTGTGTTTTAAAAAAAAAATACACTATTTGAAAGCTTATCATAAATGCTAACTTTTTAGAAATGAACACAATGGACACGTCAAAATTGACCAAAGTCGTAGAGCATCAACTATTACTACAAAGTTTGAACATGTTTTTCCGCACATTTTTTAATTTCTTATTTTTGCAGAAATCATAGTTTTTCGTCCAAAAGATCGTGTCCTTTGCACAAATATTTAAGTCATTTAGAGCGAATTTTTTTTTTAAATATTTTACGATAAGTTTATGTTTGATGATTTTGGTCAATTTTTAAGTGTGCATTGTGTCCAGTTCAGAAAAGTTAGATAAGTTTTCAAAGAAACATAATTTTAAAAATCTTAAAAATGTACACACACTTAATTTGTATTACCGACATTGATACCAGCGACTACCTCGGCATTTTATTTTGCTGGATCTCAGTGAAAACATGCTGAGATTCAGCTAAAAAACGAAAATTTAGCTGAGATCTCAATTAACAAACATAAATTTTGCTGACATCCCGTTTTTGACAAGCTAGATTGAGTGTGTATTTTTTTTGCTATCGATGATTTTATCAATTTTAATTTGATTTATTGACAAAAATTTGCAATATTTCAGTTTGTTTGTTTTTTTTTTGAAAGGGCAATCCACTTTCCTATATTATTGGCTCAGACGTCATTTCCATTAGATGAGTCGTTTTCGTGCTATGATGTATTCATAAATATATGAAAAATTAGGCGCGAGTCAAAATTGTCGAATTCCACCACAATCTTTATTCATAGACCATTGTTAATAATTATGTGAAGTTTCAAGTAATTCTGATATGTCAAATGTAAAATTTGTTAATTTTTCAAGCTTTCTCAGTCTGGGGAATGTTCCGATCGTTTATTGTGGCCTATTTCAAGGGTAAAACAGTCAAGTCTATTGATATTCTTCAAAATAACCGTTGCTATAGTAAAATTTCGTTTAGTGTCCCATATTAATTAGAATCGAACTCAATGAAGCTCCTCCAAACTAAACACGCTTATCCTGGCAACAAATTAAATTTAACGACAAACAGTAGACTGTTTAACCCTCGAAAAAAGGCTACACAAACAAACCATTTGGATTACCCCAGAAGTAGAAAGCCTTACATACCAGTCCAACAACCTAATAATTTTTTTTTCTTTATTAACGAGACTTTCAGCCTTAGGCTGGTTCATCTCTATAAGCACAACCTAATATTTTTTTTTACGGTATTGAGTTTGTAACTGCTCATTGGATATCAAAATCGGATTTTAGAAGATTTTAAAACCGGTATTTCGGTACTGCAGAATGCCATGGTATTACCGTTAAAACCGGTTACCCAACCCTGGTGAAGTGCTAAAAAACCTAAGAATGATATAAAATCCATAGAATTATAAAAATCCCAAAAAATCCACAGAAAATTAAGAGAATTGAGAATTCTATCCAAAGCACATCCTCAGAATTTAATGATTCATAAGAAGCATGCTTGGCATACACAGTTTTGGTCACGAACTGCTCATTTGCAAATAAAGCAGTAGATAGAATAGAGTTTAAGCTTGTTATAGATTCGTAAAAAAAGTAAATTTTAGTTCTAGTAATAAACTGTATTTGTTTTTACGTTGCAAAAATGAAGTGAGAAATGCTCGCTGCACATCTCGGACTTTAAATGTAAAAAATCATTGGTGTTGATTCAAATGTTAAGATTTACCTACTCTTTACATATCTATAGTAAACTATGATCTTAATCTATCAATTAATTTAAAGAAAAACAAATTTCAACAACTGAGTGAAAAGTTATTAACAAATGAGCAGTTGGTGTGTACAACTGTGCATGCCAAGCACGATAAGAAGGTTTCACACCTAAAAGTAATCCCAAGAATTCTGGATTCCTCAGAATGGTAAATAATTTTTTCCTTGATTTGTCTTCCGTCGATCTTGTTTTCCGTGCTGAGCACCAATGCTACCGACGCCAGGGAGGCAGCTTCCACACCTGGAACCTACCCATGGACCCATCAACTCATGAAACGGGGACCAAAGGCTTTACTTCCCTAATGAAATACCAAAATCCCTAATGAAACGTAATCAGCGATGTTATGTCTCAGAACATCCCGGCTGCACCGACTGGTATTGAGCCCAGGCCTGCTAGGGTGAGAGGTAATCACGCTTCCACTACACCACTGGTGCCACTTGTTCGTAAATACTTAAAAACAGTAAGGATCCTGAGAATACAGATAATCCAGACAACTCTTTGATTCCATAATTAAGAATCCGTGTAATGCACATAATTTGTTGAAATCTAAGAGTTCTACGAATCATAGAAAATCTGAGTTTCCTTAGATACTTGGAATTATTGTAATTAGAATCTTTTGATAACAATTTGTCAAATATTGGGCCGCCATTGTTCACAGAATTCTAAGATACCTTAGAATACTTGGAATCCTAAGCAGTGTTGGGAAAGTATCAAAAGATCAAATCTCAAAAATGAGCATACTCTCATTTGATTATCGTAGACAATAATCATCAAGCATACAACAGCGGTTGATGATACATGCCGTGATAGCTCCGATATAATGCTAACAAAACTTACTAGCTATAATTTTCACCAAACTGTGGTGAGTTTGAGCTTCAAGATTTTTGTTGTGCACCAAACACGAACCGAAACTTACATCACGGCTGGCAACAGTAACTTCGTGTCTGCCATCTGTGAAGAGAGATAGCCAACTATGCTTTCTCTTTCTAAGAAAACGATGTACAACGGAATCATTTTTGTGTTGAACCAACTTGTAGCTACAATTTTACATGTTGTGAATAGTATCGCAATATCAAAAGGTGCTTGTAAAATCAATATCATGTTTGATGCTTTATTCCAATGTCATCACGCGGGAGCCCGAGAGACCAAAATAAAAATCATTTGAGAGAGGATTATACTATATATAAAAATCCAAAGAATCCTATGAATCCAATGAAATCCTAGAATCCAAAGATTTCCAGAGTTACAAGAATCGTACGAATGCATAGAATCATAATCTATGTATCCTAACCAGTGTTGGGAAAATATCAAAAAATCAAATCTCACCAACGCCAAAGATCACGCTTGATTTTCGTAGACAAAAATAACAAGCAAACAACTGCGGTTGATTTTGCAAGTTGTGATATCGCAGCTCGGAATATCAAGCTTACAAAACTCACCAACTGCAAATCTCACCAAACTGTGGTGATATTGAGTTTAATGATTTTTGCTTTACACCCGAATGCAACCGGAACTTCCATAACGGCTTGCAGCAGTCTGCCATCGGTGAAGATTAAAAAGAGATAGCGGACTATGCTTTCTCTTTCTAAGAAAACGATGTGCAATGGAATCATTTTTGTGTCGAGTCAACTCTCAGCTTGATTTTTGCATGTTGTGAATAGTCTCGCAATATCAAAGGAGCTTGTAAAATCAATATCAAGCATGATTTTTTGTTCCAATATCACGCG